GAATAACACCTGAGTCCTCAGGAATGGCAACGCATGGGGAATATTATGGGCGAGACAGTGTACTCTGTTATGCTCATGGTACTGCTCATATTTATGGGCGACGGTTACCGCTTTCAGGTAGGCCGTCACTTTGTTTGCCATTCTAAGTTGTATAAAAAAAGATTCAAACAAAAGGAAAATGAATAATCGAAAGAGATGTCTTTTGTAGACACGATCACTCGCGACAAAAAATTGAGATTGTCTTTATGAAACAATTAAATCAATTAGTTTTGGTATTAATGAAATCCTCTTTATGGGGGAGGTCTATGTTCAGTAGTGGACAGTTAACGACTGGTACGATGATGATGATTTCTCGATGCATATATGGATACTAACCTTTTTTATATGTCATTGGGCATACCAAAGAAAAACTTATTCAACGATCAGAAAAACGAAACAAGTTAAAAGTTTTTAAAAAGAAAATTATTTTTACAGTTCTTATTTAAATAAGTAATTTACACATACGACAACAGCAATATAATGTAGGCTAACAAGTTACTATTATCATACTAATTAAAACGCCCATTGAAACATGTTGAAATCATTATAAATTTACACCTCGTTGACATAAACAATATAATTACAGGAAGCGTAGAAACTTGTCGTTTCGCGGATATTCTCAAGAAAATGCGGGCATAAATATGTTTAATATTCTAGATCATATTTAATTGCACCTATATTGTAAAAATAGTTGCATGAAATAAGCAGACGTGATTGAATTAGTTAAATATCACAAGTAAGATACTTACGATAGTTTACAACTAAGGTAACTCTCACAATTAAAAGAAATCTGATGAATGATGTATATTAAAAGTCTATCTATTTAAATCTCTGGTGTAGTGGCAAATACCCTAAAAACACAGTCTTATTCTTTTGAAAGTAAAGTTTTACTACAATTTCAAATTATTTACCAAAGTATCGTGAAAAAAAAGATTTGAACAACTAAGATGCAGTATCATTTTCAAAGTATATGTGTCGTTAATCATACTGAGACCAGCTGTCATCAGTATACGAACCAGTGCACGTATGTAACCTAGAAGATCTTGTATAATTGCAAAGATAACGTGACTCTGTCGATAATTGACGTTATCCGTTGTTTACGACTCATTCATTGGACAGGAAAATTAACTGGTTCTTAGATCTCCCGATGCAGTTATCAGCGCCTATAATTATAGGTAGTATGCTAAGTTCTTATTATCCCCGTAGTCAGTTAATTTTAAAGCCTGCCCTGAATTCCTGACTTTGTCGACATGAAATAAATACAAAGAAAAATCATAATTATTAAAGATAATATACATGGAGGAGAGGAATTGTTAGTAATAGGCACGTTAATTCCTGTTACCAGCAATATGTATGGTCAACCTCTACGCGGTTCCCCCTGGAAACCTTCGTGATTAATTTTTGTTGGATCCGTCTCAATGGGTTAACTGACCTAATTTCATCTTCACCTATCACCACTCACTGGTGCCCCGCCAGTTTATCCCAATAGCTCAGGCGGTGTTATCATTCTATTCTCACCCATATGAAGCTGAAAAGCTAAGTCTCATTTTTGCGTGTGATAGCTTCTTTCTTGAGGAAGGCTTAAATACCATGATACCACTACGGGCGAAACAATAGGATACATCTTGTAAATTATAATCTTTATCAAGTCATAATTATGAGTCAAATATTCTTTCATAGAGGTTGCTCAAAGTTTCCAGTTATATATATGTGATTTATTTTCTCCAATATTCTAGTTTGTTAAAATGTATGTCCTAAAAATATCCTGTGATTGTTTAAAGTGAATACTTTATTCTTCTTAGATATCTAACACATTTTCAGTATATTGAAGAATTTGTTTCTATACTAGTTATTTCTTAAAAAAAAATAATATGAAATGTATTTGAATTGAAAAATTAAGTAACTGATAACATAAAGCGAAATTATGAAGAGCAAACAAGGCATATCCAATCACCTGAAAGCTCTGTATCTATAATGTTTCTAAATATCTATCTGATAATATCTTCAAATTATATTTACTTCATATAACTATTGTGAGTCATTAAAATGTGAGTACAGTCGACATCGAACATATATACCAAATTCATTAAATACTATTGAAAATTAATTACTGTCTTCTGAGATCATACTTTTGCGCGATTTTCAGCAATTGCGACCCTTGTCCAACTTTGGTGAACCTTTCAACTGTGTTTTCAATTTCAAGTCCCCTGAAAATCCGATGTTCTCAAAATATAAAAGGAAGTATTTTATGAAATACATTCTATTGACTTGAACTTTTCTGAAGACTCGAAATCAAAAAAGTTCACCGAAATTAGACATAAAACGCACCATGTTGAAAATAACCCTATTAAGAGTTGAATTAACTAAGTTTCTTCTAATCATGAAAATTTCTATTTTGATTATTATTTGAAAAAAAAAACTGCATTCTCTGCAATTTCGTTTCATGAACAAAAAATGTTCTATAAACATTTTCTATTTCATCACACCTCATTCAAAGGTTTATAATTCTATTATTATTGCATTTTTATAATAATAAAGAAATACCTGTTAACGTATTGTTACATAAAAAGCATTTCATTCTGGAATATTATAATTTAGTATTAGTACAAGAAACAAAGTATTTAAATGTTTTTTATCACTTTTATCACAAATTAATTTTAACCAAAAATTGTATATCCAACAATTTATATTTCAATGAAGTGGCAAGATGAAATATGGACATAATATATACATTTTGATTATAGTAATAATGCGTATCTATTGTCTTAGATTTTAAAGAGAAAAAAAAGTATTTATTGCCAGAGAATATTTGAATACAAAAGTTTACCATTGATTTTTAACACTAAGTTAAGCCTATTAAGCTCATAATATATATATATAACACAATAAAATAGTAATAAACACAAGAATGTTCAAAATTAAAATCACATATTTATGTTGACTATACTCACGTTTTAATTTCGGGGCTGCCCGACCGAACCCGACCAAATTTCGAACTCAATAGGAGCCCTTTTTCATGAGCATGATTCACGTTCATGTTCAAAATTATACTCATACCAAATTCATTTAACAAAAGCATGTCCAGAGTAATAAAATAATCTTTTATTTTATAACGACCGAACCCGACCAAATTTCGAACTCAATAGGAGCCCTTTTTCATGAGCATGATTCACGTTCATGTTCAAAATTATACTCATACCAAATTCATTTAACAAAAGCATGTCCAGAGTAATAAAATAAATCTTTTATTTTATAACGAATTACCTAAAATACCTACCTTGAAATTTAATAATGAAGCAGAGAATATGTAGCCATTACTATGAAATGAACCGTTTGTTCCGTATTCTGAGCTTTCAATTACCTATGAAAATAAAATTAAAATGCATTCTCCTGCACGAAATCAAGATTCAAGGCTAAACGAATACACATCAATTCGTCCGCGATTTACACGACTGTTTAAACATGTTCACTGGTCTGTTGGTATAGATAGACTAATATGGCAATGCACAAATGATGTCATAAAATGTATTCCTTATAATTAAAATTACGTAGTAAATGAGTATGACGCACGACATTATAAACTAATTCGGTTTAGATTTAATTTAAAATTGTTTAATTTTATTATAAGTCGTTTGTTGTTAAAATAATTTAAGATAGTGTTCCACAAAAGAATAGTGCCAAAACCAATTACTTTTATTTAAAAACTAAATTGCTGAATCATTTTTGATAAAATTTCTATGGGACCAATCTGAAAAATTATTCTTTGAAATAAAAAAAGAAATTTCCAAATCGGTTTATGACGGGTAAATGACGGAGTTATGAAGTGAAAAATACAAAAAAAAACAACTAAAGAAAAGTAATTTATTCAAAAATATGATTTGACGTAAACAATTATGTAATTTAAATGAACTATCCTCATTCTGCATTTACGTTGTTCTGTACATTAGACGTCAAAAACAATAATGACCTCTTAAGAGTTCATTCGACTTCTTTATGATGACGACCTTATGATTACGTGACTAAAAATGATTCAAATGTAGCCAAAATCAATACAGGTAGTATGATTAAGATTGATCCTAATATCACAAGCTGGGAACTAAAAACCTTCGTCGGATTTTATTATATCTCTGAATAATATAAGAGATTTGCTAGAGCTCCTTACAATATTCAGCAAAAGGAGGGATCTGCCCGATTTCCGATGAATGTAGCATGAAGCCAAGTAACAGACGGGCTGAATTAAATGACGTCGATACTGTAGAAAATGACGACCGAGATCTATTCGAATTGAATTCTGCTGAAATAGACGCATATATCCATTTCAACAGAATCTAGATTAGGACACATTATAGCGATTATTGTTTTAATATGTACAAGCAATTACGTACTAAATATCTAAACATATTTTATAATTTAAAAAGAAATTACTCAAAAAATACACATTACGTAAATAATTAACTTAATGCTCCACTAATCGCGAAAGAAACCTAACTAATAAAAATAACTCAAATTACTAGAGAGTGAACTGAAACCTTGGACGGATTGTGACAATATTAAATACGGCTTCCTAGTTCATTCACTTCTAAAGGCCGTTGTAAACTAATACATACTAATACAATTTTGACTTAATACAGATAATCTTTTAAACTAGATTGTAGGTAATTAGATTGTTATTTTCTAGAACTTATTATTTTATATGAATTAAAATCAAAATTTCGTATGTAATCGTTCCACAGGATTTTTAAGTATACTAATTCTGTATATTAATTTAATGTAATCAAAATAAAACCTGAATCTTAATAAACACATACTAGTATTACTAGATATAGTGTTTTAAAGGACTTTTCAGATCATATAATTTGCCACTTTATTATTATTTGACACAAATAATATCTTTATGAAAAATTATGACATAAAGATAAAGAGTCATCTTCTATTTAAAGACAATGAATTTATTAACTTACCCTTTCTCCCCTGGTGCTAGTTTATTGCTCTCGACTATTGCCGTAGCTCTGATCCTGTGATCAGGTTGTTCACCTAATAGTTTTTCACTTCTACCGTTATTCAAATGCTCTCTCGCAACACTATATGGGTCACTTTTACTAACATCTTTATCACTAGTCACTTCACTCTCAATTTTCACTTCACTTTCCACTTTAACTTTGAGACTTTTCTCACTTGAATCCTTTTCGTGTTTCTCAGGTTCTATTTTGTCTTCTTTAACTTCTATTGCTTCTTTTTTCTTCTCACTTTGAATACCGTTCGCTATAACTGGTGCAGGTTTCGCCTGCAGTGACTTTGGTTGTGATTTCGGCGATGATATCGTAGGTTTACTCTCTATTGCTCCATTTTCGTTTATGGAAGTCACATATACGGTGGAGTTTGCTATATAACCGTTTAACTCTTGTCTATTTTCTGGTTGGGTTCGTTTTCTTCTATTTAACTGAAAAGACAATACGCATATTAATATCAAAATTTTTGCTAATTGTATCTACTTTAAATAAATTTTCAGTTAAAGTATTTACTTATATAAATTTGAATTACAAAACCAATATTTAAATATATATGATAATAATAAAAAATAAATATATTTACACAAAATTGGTTATGCAGCATTTAACGAAACTAAGTCGTAACAGAAGCAGGAAAAATATTTAGGTATAAAGCAGTTATTTCTATTATTCTAGTTATTAGTTCACAATGATCAATAATCTTTTCATTGTATTGCTATTTCTGAAGACAAAAATGTCATGCCTTCGTATACTTACTGTAATTTTAGTTATTGTGTTTATTAAAAATGACCAACCAAATATGACATATGTATCTAACAGAAAGTAAGATATTTCTGTGGAAGACAAATCGATGACAAAATGCTAATGAGATAGTATAGTCAATTTTATTAAAATTTTTAATGGATCGCCACAATACATCAGTTGACTTAACATCGCATCCAGTCCCGACCCCAATTAACTCTACACAAAAAAGAGCACTTGAGTTAGGCACGAACGCACAAATGCGGATTTAAAAAAAATGTGAAAGCCAACAAGTGGTCTTTCAGACCCTTGAAATGATAATTATTCGTTACGTAAACTCTGTGTCCTTTTTGATACAAAATATTATATACTTTTCGTCTGCTCAAGACGATTATATAAAAAAATACAGATTTTAGGTTTTTTAGCTTTTGTTACTCATATGTATAGATAGACTACTGTGTTAGAGACACCTAGACAAGCTTCTGCTTAACGAGCATGCTTCACGCTACTTAATATTATTCTCAAACCATTCGTATTATAATCACCAATTTACATTCTTAAAGTAATGACAATTGGTCTCTGCTGCGCTACGACAGGGCATCGTAATCGTAGCACGATGGAGATCAACATTGATCTAGGCTGGCATTATAAACATCAGAGAGTTTTTCTACACATGTCAAGTACGCTTTTTTTTATGCAACTTAAAATGGCAAACAAGCTGACGTCTATAGACATGAGCAGTTTTTATCAAATTACGAAAATCAAGAACGAAAAAGAAGTCAGACTAACAGAGACAAAAAGGTTTTTAATTTTTTTTACTGATACTAAAATAATCTATTTCGCTTGAAAGTATAGTCAAAAATTCCTAAAATCCTACACAATGGATACAGATTTCGTCTAGGGACTAAATTTCTTTTTTGCTTAACAATAAAGTTTCTAATTTATTAAATAAATGTAATATATTTATTATAATTCTAATTTAAAGTTGAAGCAAATTTTATGTCACAATTTTCATTCCATATTACCATATTACCACTAATTTTCACTCACGATATGCTATAAAACTGACTGAGGGAAGAATGTAAATTGCATCAATGCAATAGTCAGCTTGCTATCGTAGTAATAATAGTTTTGTAGTCATACTAGCATTGTAACGTTAATGGATTATTACAATAATCTCTTGACACTCAAATTTTATTCTTTCTATGTCAATCCTTGATATACAAAACACTCAAGTTACAACCAGAACGTAAAAAGACTAAAAGTAGAAAGCAATCAACCAAATGTAAACCTTTTTCTCTATCAATAGTAAATAAACTGACGGGCTGCCTGATGAAAAGCGGTAACAATCACTTAAAGATATGAACGACACCATAAATATCACAGAATATACTATGATGCCCATAATACTTCATGGTTCATCATTCCTTTAATCATGCCATACTCGCCCGTGTAGGCGCAACAGAAACACAAGTGGGACAGAGATACTAATGAAGACAAATTTCGTATTGTAATACCAGTATTTTTTTTAAATGCGTTTGATTCCCACTCACCTCTACTGAAAGTTTAGACATGTCAACTGGAGTGATACGCTTGAGTGCTGACAACCGCTGCAGCCGTTGCCGAGCTTGCTCCTCCACCGCAATAAGGAAGGCATCTTGTATGATGTTATGGCCGATGTCTGACACTGTAGTACAAATAATATCTTGTTAAGAAAATGTTCTTATAAAAACAATAATATTATTGAAAATCATATTAAAATAACTATTGTATAACTGTCTTATAAAACAGCAGAGTGAATAACAGTTTCTGTAACCCCTTTATTTCTAAAACAACAAGCGTATGTAGATGAACAGTACAAAGTTATAAACATCTATATAATTTATCGATTTAATTATTAAGAGTTGGTATAAAAGCCTAGTTAAAAAGTATAAATGTAATTCGTATTCATTAATATAACGGATGGATTACTAAAATTCGATTGAAATCATCGGCCATAAGCACATGGTATGTGACCAGTACCATCGATTATTTATCGGCTGATTGCGAATTTGATGAACCTATAGAATTTAATATTCCATCAACGCACTGCATTCTGTGCCCGCCTGATGTGTGAGTCAATAGGTCTTGTGCAACGCTATTGTGACGCCTTCTCAATGAATACACAATTTACCGACGCCATTGTCTTCCAAGCCTGGCTGGAACTAGATATTTGAATATTAAATTATAATATGAAAGAATCTGGGATCTTCAAATTAATATTGTTTAATCGGGGGCATAATCGAAATTGAAACCTAAATAACGGTTGAATTTTATTACAAACATTCCATCACAAGATCGTGTTTCAAAAATGTTGACAGTCAGACGCGCGGCATTTCTGTTTCGATTGTGACGAGATTATAATAATCCTTATTGTTTTTAACACATTCCTCAAAAGACAAGTGAATGTTAATTGTAATATTAGGATTGTTATATTGTGAGACTACTCAAATCAAAATGGAATAACTTTTACGATTCCTCCGCTTATAAAATACACTCGTCATTCTCATTATATAGTTGTATAGTTTTAGATAAGGATTTAGGATATAAGGAAATAATATTAGAAATTACGTTATTGTTGTAAATATAAGAAAATATAATTATACTCATGCTTTCCTGGGTGAGCGTATTGGAAGACTGTAAGACTCACCCAGTGGATGTAATAAATAAATAAATAAATAATATAAATATATTAAAATAAATAGGCACTGCAAAAAGTCATGGTATCAAGCAGTGAATATATACGAGTAAAGATGATGGTAAAGAACAAAATATCTCACTTATCTAAAAACTCTTTATTATGAAGTATATAATAATATCGCAAAATAAACTAATAACTTTAATGAAATTCCTTTGATTTAAGTTAATACAAAGATCATACTCAAAGACGCACCTTCCTTATACCTACATAGATGATAAACAAACATATTTAACGGTATTTAACGAATACATTGATACATTATTTAATTAATATACACAAAACTAAATTAATCTTATTAGCGACGATAGATTGACTCCCTGGCTGGCGTGTCGTGCCGAGACGTGACCACGTTAGGTTCAGCTCGGATATTAAATTCAGCGAAATTTAGCCAAATGAAACATTACGACTACAGTCAACATAATTTAAAATTTTCTTCCATAATTTAAAAAAATAGCGACTTCGTCAGAAAATGAATACGAAACGATCAAAGAAGTAAACTCTATCGAATGAATTGCAAGAAGATTAATTAAAATTAATACAGTAATTGTAAAAAACCATTGAATAGAGAACTTCCTTATGAAGTTTTGGATTATAGTTGAAGAGGCAAAGATTTTAATCAATATTTACCATCACAGTTATTTTTAATGCCATTCAACAGGATCAGATCTATGAGCATCTTACTGTCCGTGCAGATAAAGCAAAATATGACCTTTAAATCAACGGTGCATTACCTCGAACATGTAATTGTAACATGCAATTTTGTTGAATCAGATATTACTTTGCGGAATTCCACAACCCTGGTAAATTTATTATTATCAGTTTGTTAAATTTTCATACCTACTTACATAATACCTATCAATACTATACCACTAACAATTGATGCGAAGTATTGAACACCATTAGTGAAAACTTTGTTATCTTCTTTAGTAATAATTAATAAATCACCATTATTAAGTCCACACTATACGCTCATATTGCTGTAACTGTAACTAGTGTTGACTAATTGGATTTGTAATCTGGTCGCCGAATAGTCATACAACCGCCTATGATGATACCTCCATTAGAAACCAAACACGTGTCTCGAGTTGGAGATTGCTTATTGGTAAGGATGGTCATAAATCTTCTACTAGTGGTGGCCCATCGTCCATTATATTTTGGAAATTTCACGTAAACTAATAGTAATGCAACTGGATAATAAATCTAATATGTTATTATATATATATTCAGTAACCAGATCTGAATATCTACACTAATATTACATGAAGACAAAAATTTAATTTTGTTTGAAATTGATAAGAAAAAAATGTTTCATCACTAAGAAAAAGAATCATTATTGACGAGTAACATGAGCTGTATTTTATTTCCAAAAAAAAACTGTGCAAAGCCGAATCGGATAGCTAGTGTATTATATTGTGACAATCAAAAATGATGAGTGCTCATAATCACGTAGTAGGTGCATGAAATGTTGTCGGCGTGTAGTAAATAACACATCGATGTCGGTCTCTGGATGTTTAAACAGCAATACGATTAGATATTTGAATACCAAATGAAGCTGATTATAATATAAAATATACATAATGAGTTCACAATTGCTCAGTGATACCTACACATTTACCTATGTGAAGAGGTAATTTGTACCTTTGGAAATGTATATAGATTGTTAGTTGTATTTATTAGTAGTGTGTTATAATAAAAATTTTAGATATACGTAATTGTTAAGATCAATTTACGGGTAGATTACATGAACCACCATCATCATAACAGCCATTACCTGTCCACTGCTGAACACAGGCCTTCTCCTATTGGGGAGTTTTGCCAGTAGTTGCCACGCTTGACAAGCAGGTTAGTAACCGCAAATAGGCTTTTGGTGATGTTTTAAGACGGATGCTGCTGCTCATCCCTCGACCTTAGTTGTCTCTTACAACATCCGAGCGAAAGGAACGGGTGGTCCATTCTACGTCGAAACTACATGGCAGATTATAAGAAGAAAGTATAAAATTATTCATAAAAGCAGCAGAAGATTCAGTATTTATATCGAATGATAGACAAAGAGCAAGATATACAAGTATATACAAAGTTGTTTGTTGTGGTAAAGAGCTTACATTATTAATATTATTGAAATATGTTACTTAAAATTCTTTATATCATTGAAACTATGAATATTATTAATTAAAAAGAAATAGAATTTTTTTTAAAATAAAATACATATTAGATACCAATTTTTTTAGTGCCAAATTAATGTTTATTTTTTCAGTGATTATCATGTAAATATAATGCAAAAAGATGCTATTTTCTAATGTGCTCAAAAATATTTGTAATCTTGTTTTTTAATTTGAACAGGCAATTAAGTAATACTGTTGTTAGTTACCAGTGTATACCAGCGTCTCCACTTAGGTCTTATAAGTATGTAAGCGAGATTACCACTAAGCGAGATCTTGTAATAATATTCTTACTCTAATTAGAATTTCATATCAACTAGGTACCTTTTGTCAATTACACATTTTGTTTACATATTTATTTACAGGACTATTTATTATTATTATTTATTATAGAAAGAATGGATCCATACCAAATTGTCTAACTTGCACTGCGATAAAATATTGCCATAATGAGTCAGTCATCCACAGTAGAATAAGATAATGAGGAAACTATTCGTATTTGTATTGTAGCCGTAACTTATGGTTGCAAATATTTCATGTAGACTTGTAAAGTATTTATGTTATAATTGCTATTCCTAGACTCGATCATTCCATTATTTCAAATTGATGGGATTCAAACATGCTACTAAACTTGTCACTTATTGTCTACTACTGTTGTGTATGTCTGTCGTTGATTCGAGTTGTTATTTATTAACAAAAATATAAAGATTTCTTATGTTATAATATAGTAATTATTAAAAATTGGTAGGTTATAAGGAAGGTAATATTTTTTAATGAGTACAGAAAGTAATAATAAAAATTTACGAATTTAGTACAGTAGTTGTCGTCGATAATTGGTATTATTTATCCCCAAATGCATTTCAATAAACCAAAATATTTAGAATGTTAAAAGTTTTATTATCTCACCTCATGTATTACTACAGATCATAATATTTGCTATAATATTTCAATTTCTTTCTTGAAACTTATCAATTTTACATTCTAGCTATTGTATTTACATTTAAATTGAAATAGTCTGTAATATGTACAAGTATACTGACGCTGTATGTGTATTTTCTATCGTTCTTATTGTTCTGCATTAATGGATGACAAGATAGTTATACTGGCGGTATTGTCTTTATTTATAAGTAGACTCAGAACTCAGGATTCATTTAGAGACAGAGAGATTCCATTGTTTCCTAAATTGGCTCCAATCTGACTGTAGTGAGTTTTTCTTTATCTGGAATCTCATAGTAAGTACCTACTAAACTATACGCATTCAAATGTTTTTCTATCGCTTATGTGAATAATAATAATGATTATAAGTAGATATAATTGCGCTAATACAATCCTAAAACTAAGTACAACTTTGACTGTGAATGAAAAATAATTAACCTAACTTCTTACACATATAAACATAAAAAATACACAGTACACTATCACTCGTCACAAAGACCTTCTCTTTTTGAAATAATATAATTAATTAAATAATATTCGCATTTATCTGTAATAATGAAATTTCTGTTACTCCAATAACTGGAACAGTAATAAACTTGGTGTAATCGCATTACCTGTTCATAATACGAAATTAACGAACAAAATATATGATGAATTATAATGTACATTATTCGACAGGTTTTCAATATCATGAATTAATCAATACATACACATATCACGATATGAAATGACTACCCCATATTAAGGATAAAATATGTAGACTAATTATTCTTTAACTCGCTAGTCTTAATAGTTCAATAATAAAATGTAATGACTTCAAGCTATGTTAGTAGAAATCTGCCCATCTTTTGA